AGAGAGAGAGAGAGAGAGAGAGAGAGAGAGAGAGAGAGAGAGAGAGAGAGAGAGAACACATATGTATTCCATCCTCTTTCACATCCTGCAATGGCTAGAGCAATCTAAATTGTTTTCTTCTTGTTTCAAAATTTGGTATACAAAGACCACAGATCCTTTTAACTTTTCTTTGTTGACATCAAACAAGCAACAGTGACTAAAGGAGTGCCCTGGTCCACATTCTTCCAAAATGAGAAAGGAAATCCAGGAGTTGTGCATGTGTGCAGAATGAAGGCTATGAGATTCTTTTCATTCTAGTGCTCAGGACAAACTTGTAGCTCACAAATCTTTCAGCATGAGTGAGTGATTAGGTAAAAGACTAAGCAGTCACTGTTGGCTTGATTAAATAAACCACAAATGTTGGGTTCACAAAGTATGCTATGCTAAAACCATGCTTAATATAAAGGCAGGCAATCTCAGGCACTCCTTTAGTCATTGGTGTTGTTACGGTGTTAAATGTTTAAACTATTATCTCCCAGGATCCCTCACCACAGGCCATGCTTTCTAGGGATGCTGGGATTTATAGCAATATCGGGGTTACTGTAGATACCCTTGCTTCGGCACAATACTTAACGAGACATCAGTTAGTAAATTCTGGTGTTTTAGTAAAAATTTTCCAGCCATGATATTTCTATCAGACATAGAGTGCAGCATGGAACTAGCAGTTCCTCACTGATCAGGAAACCAGTTTATCTACAGAGCTGCAAATTACTGCTTCTTCCTTCCTCTCTAAAAGCAGCAATGTTCTAAGCATTACAAGGCTGTTTTCACATATTAATCAAATGAGCTTCCTTACAAATATTAAAAGGTTTGTTGTTGCTATATGACTGCATTGCATTTTAAAAGAAATTCTGAAGAAATATCTATTTATACTATCATCCATAGATTGAGAATTGGCACTCCTGTCACCAGGACAAATGAATATGAAGTGATTATTTTGAGGCACTATGTAAAACATAGTATTTCCTCTCTGAAATGCGAAAGAGACAGAAAAGTTCAGAAGTTTTTGCTTTGCTGCTTAGTAAAAGTCAAGGAAATCATTATTTATATAATTATGCACCACACTTCACAAAACTCACAGTGGTTTATAGCTAAAGCAGATTATCAAAACAATACTGTAACCACAACAGAACAGGTAGCCATTAATCTATAACCACAACTGTAACTAGAACTTCTGTTGTTAAACAAGGTGATTGCAAGTAATTTTATGACTTTTTTTTTTGCTGCAGTTGTGTAGCAAATCCAGCTTCCTCGTTGAGTTGGTTGGAAGCCTCCTGGGAAGGTCACAAATGGTGAACATCTGACCCAGGGACACAGCCACCATCATAAATACATACCAGTTTCCAAGTGCCTGAATCACAATCAGGTGGAATGATCCATGATTCATGGGGAAGCTGCAATGGCCATAATTACAAGGAGTGGTTGCAAATAGCTGTTTTCAGTACTGGCATAATTTTGAGCAGTTGTTTAAATGAATGGTCATAAATTGAAGGCTATTTGCATATCATAACAAATGCATTAATAATCAAAAAATCAAAATTTAAACTCATATTCCAAACATCCTTATCATTGCCTTCATTATCTGATCTTAACTCCTGAACCTGTCTGAACTGCTCCTTTTTAACTAAAAAATCTGGTGTGAAGGCACTATTCAAGTTCCCATGGAAGGCTGTTCCAAAAGATTGGTGTTACAATGAAAAAAAAATCACGCCTTTTTTTTTTTACCTTTCCTGAATTTCGCACAGGGGAAAGGAATCTTCTAAATTCCAACCCTGGACTTACATACTGGACAAAAAAGAACAATTTTGAAAGAGATAGTCCTGCATCTGTAAACAAGAAAGCTGAATGCTTGAATTGATAAATGGAATGAAAAGTGAATGCGTGAATGGAAAAAGACTAAAAAAAACCCAAAGCCATCATCATTTGTTATTAATACAAAATCCCACCCTCTTTTTTGTTTATGTAATGACGATCTCAGCAATGTGAAAATACAGATGAAGGCATGCAGATAATTATACTTGGTGAAATCTTTGATGGTAGACAGACTTCAGTAATATATCTAAATGGGGAGGCTGAATATTTCTTTGCTTACAGAAGAAAAGAATAAGCAACAGGCAAATGGCGTTGCTTAATATCTTTGCAGAAATTCAGGAGATAGCAACAAAAATCTATGCCTCATTTCTAAGGAGATGGGGTAAATGATTTGATTCGGATTAACGCCATTGTTTGTATAAGGGCCCCCATTTAACAGCAAAACATTAGGTCTCCATTGTTAGAACTTTAGCTAAAGTCCTGTAAAGGTCCATCGCTTTACTTAAAGCTTATTAAAAAAATTTCCCAACATCAAAATAGAAAGTTTAAATTGGACTTCAAATTACCTGGATTTTAAATAAGAATTTAAAAATACGTTTTGTCCTCCACAATAAAATCCTCTTGTTTTAACTAAGTGTATTTATCTGAAGAGCCAGTTTGATGCAGTGTTTAAGGCATCAAGCTAGAAACTGGGAGACTGCAAGTTCCACTCTTGCCTTGGGCATGAAGCCAACTGAGTGACCCTGGGTCAGTTACTTTCTCTCAGGCCAAGGAAAGAGGCAATGGCAAGCCACTTCTGAAAAACCTTGCCAAGAAAGCTGTGGGGACTTAT